CGCTGGAGGACCACAAGGCGATCAGGAAGAAGGTGGGTCTCGAGATGAGGAGCATCAAGCAGGACAAGACGGCGGTGTTCAGGATCGGGAACCAGGAGACCCTGACGCTCATGCACACGGTCGACCTGAAGTGTCGCGTCGGCGGCAAGCTGCTGGTGCTGCGCGTGTGCGTCGTCCCTGGAAGGACCCCTCTCCTGCTGAGCAAACCCATGCTGAAGTACCTCGGCGCTGTCATCGACATGGAGAAGGATGAGATCCACTTCTCAAGGCTGAACGTGTCGGTTCCACTGAAGGTGGCAGCCAGCGGTCACTATCAGCTCAACCTGTGCGAGACGACGACTGAGGGTCACAGACAGATTCAGACGGCTGAGGTGGACGTGATGACAGCAGAGGAGGTGGCGGCCATGGAGACGTTCGTCGCTGAAGCGACGGCGGGTTCTCGCTAGGGCGGGGCCGGAGCCCAGAGGCCAATCAGGATGGCATGACATCTGCAGGGGTTGACGTCGAGAATGTCAAAGATGGCATGGCATCTGCAGGGGGTTGCGTCGACGATGTCGGATATGGCGTGACGTTCGCAGGGGGTAACGTTGATGGCGAGATGGATTGTGGAGTATGCGACGACACCGATGTTCTGTGGACGGTGGGCGTCACCGATGTCATAAACAGGCGGGCCAAGCGAGATGTACTGAAAGAAGTCATGGCGGCCCAGGTGGCCGTGGGTTACCGTCCAAAGTGCCTGGAGCTATTCACTGTGCCGAGGGTGACCCCAGTCCTGGCGACCATGGACTTCGAAAACCTCGGCTCGTTCGATCTCGAGAACGGCTGTGATGCTCGACGAGGTCAGGACCGTCACCACATTCTGCACCTGATCCGCACCGAGGAGCTGGACAACGTGGGCATGAATCCTCCGTGTGGCGCCCTGTTGGCATTGCAGAACCTGGCGATGGATGATGCTCGCCGGGACTTGGCCGAGTACAGACGGACGGTGAAAGAAGCAGTGGGATATCTCAGGTCTTGCGTGTCTTGCGTGGTCGTGGCACGTAAGCAGATGCAAGGAGTTCGGTATTTCGCAATCGAGGCCCCGACGTCAGCCAAGTCCTGGAGTTGTGCATCACTGGTGGCACTGTGCGCCGCTGCCAGCGTGCATTGTGTTTCGGTCAGTGGCTGTTGGTCTCAAGGATCCGGTGTCCCAGAAGCCGATTTCGAAGGAGTGGTGCTTTGCAACTGACTCAGACATGATCAAGTGGTACCTGAAAGATCTTCGATGTCCTGGTGGTCATGAGCATCAGTGGTGTTGGGCGGGACAGTTCGAGGGGGATCAAGAGGAGCAGATGGCCTGTGCCGGCGCCCGGCGTCTGCGTTGGTCTGTCAGCTGGAGCTGGATATCGTCGACTCCAGCCCTGAGGCACTGTCGACGTGGGAGGATGGGGAGGTCACCGAGCTTCGCAAGCACACGCTGGAGACGTCGCTGAGGAGGCTCCACGCGAATCTCGGTCACCCGTGCAACGAGGACCTGGTGTGGATTCTCAAGCACGCCAAGGCGAGTGAGATGGTGCGGGCGATGGCTCGGCAGTTCTCCTGTTCGGTGTGCGAGGGTCGGCGGCTTCCCAAGCCCGTGCGGCCTGTGAAGGTGCCGTCCAAGATGGCGCCATTCTGGCTTGCAGAGATCGATGTCAAAGAGCTGCCTGGCTGGTCAGAAGGCATGGAGGTGAAGGCCCTTAACGTCGTGTGCCCGAGCAGCAGTCTGCAGCAAATGGCTCCCTTCTTCGAGGCCGAAATCGGCAAGGTGCTGAAGGAGCTGTTTGAGTCCAAGTGGTGCGAGCCCTACGGTGCCCCGGATTACCTCAAGTGCGACGCCGGGCGGACCAACCTGGGCCAGGACATCCTTGACACCTTCGAGAAGATGAGAATTGAAGTGACGGATGCCGCAGGTGAAGCTCACGAGCAAGCTGGACACGTCGAACGCCATGGGGCTTGGTTCGAGGACATTCTCAACAAGGTGATGGACCAAATGGTGCCCAAGTCCAAGGACGAATGGCTCTCTTGTGGACGAGCCGTGACCCTGGCTAAGAATTCACTGCTGCGCGTCCATGGGTTCTCGCCGTACCAAATATCGCTGGGCAGGAACCCTGAGGTCCCCGCGGGCATGATGCAGGAGGAGCCGGATATTGTGGCGAGCAGTGCGGTGCTCCACGACGAGCCGTTCGCGGTCATGGAAAGGTGCAGGCAGTGCGCGCTTCTGACAGTTCTCGAGCACATGGACACTCGCGCGGCCAGGGTAGCGCTGGACAGTCGTCCCAGGGTGGTCTCGACGTTTCAGGCGGGGGACCGAATTGCAGTGTGGCTACGTGGCCGTGGCATCCCGGGGAAGAAGGCTCATATGAGATGGCGTGGGTCAGCGGTGGTCTTAGGTCAGGTGAAGGGCAACTACAGGGTCGCAATGCCAGGGGTGGCCATCAAGGCGTCGCCAGAGCAGCTGCGCCATGCCACCCAAGAGGAG